AGGAATGCCTTACTTAAGGAAAACCTGGTTAACTGGTGTGTGAGCATCTGCCAATGTTCCCTTTCTAACAAGACGTGGTGGCTGGCTCTGGGTTGCTCTTTACAACCCACCTGTGGGAACAGCCTCTCAGTTTTTGCAGAGGGAGCATTATCACCTCCTCCTGAGGGCTTCCACTCCTGCTTTTATTAATTTTCTACCCAAGACTGGATCAAAGAACATGAGGCTTATGATTTCTTTCCTAAATGTGTGAGGGGTAGGGGAAGAGCACAGGAGAGGGAAGTTCAAGATACCAGTGAGGAGGCTTCCCTGGTGGCGCAGTGGTTAAGAATCCGCCTGCCAGTGTAGGGGACACAGGCTCGAGCCCTGGTCCAGGAAGATCCCACATGCCACGGAGCAGCTGAGCCCATGTGCCACAACTACTGAGCCTGCGCTCTAGAGCCCGTGAGCCACGACTACTGAAGCCCACGCGCCTAGAGCTCGTGCTCCACAACAAGAGAAGCCCCCGCGTTGAGAAGCCCACGCGCCGCAACGAAGAGTAGCCCCTGCTCACCGCAACTAGAGGAAGCCCATGCGCAGCAGCGAAGACCCAATGTAGCCAAAAAAAAAAAAAAAGATACCAATGGGGGGAGGGGTAGGTAACTCCTTGATCAAGGTCCTCGCAGAGGTGGGAGATGATGTGGTCCAGAGTCGAGGGGAAGAGAAGCCCAGGATGCACCCGATCCTTCTAGTGGAACAAATCCACAGGGCAGGGGACGCCCTTCAGTGGAACTTCCATGTAGCCCGGATGGAAGAGGCAGGAAGGCAGCGAGTTGGCTTCCTTAGGGGTCGGGTTTTGCTGGGCAAGTGTGGCAACAGGGCAGGTGTCCTGGGGCTTCTCTGTCCTTGAAGTCTATGAAGTCCGGGTAGGTGGGGAGTAAAGGGAAGGGAGGATTGAAGGTCCTGAGTTTCAAGGTCAGGGGGGTGGGCTCATAGGGAAGATATTAGTGTTTAAGATTTCAGAGGTGGAGTACTTCCCAGTGAGAACAGGATCATTGAAGTGAGCGGTCATGGTGTAGAGGCCATTGGAAATGGAAGAGATGAGGGAATTTTGAGATGAGCGTGTTGGATAGATTGGTGCGTGCTGGCATCATCCAGGTGGGGTGGAGCCTTGGAGATGAGAGCGAGATTGTGACCCAGTCGCCAAAGTCCCGAGTCCGTTTGGGTCATGGCCCCGAGCTGAGCACGTGAGTGTGTGGGGAGCTTGGCCAAGTGCTGACTGCACGTGACCTTATTTAATCTTAGCAGCCTGTGAAGTTGGCATTACTATTATTCCCCCATTTTCCAGGCTGGAAACTATGGCTCAAAGAGATTTAATCACATGCTCGAGACCACACAGTTAGGAAGCAGAGAAGTCATTATTTGATCTAAAGTATGCATTCACTGAAATCATGCCATTTGCAGCAAATGGATGGACCTAGAGATTATCATACTAAGCGAAGTAAGTCAGAGAAAGACAAATATCACATGATACCACTCATATGTGGAAGCTAAAAATATGATACAAATGAACTGATTTACAAAATAGAAACAGACTCACAGACAGAAAAAAAATTTATGATTACCAAAGGGGAAAGGGTGGGGAGGGATCAATTAGGAGTTTGGGATTAACAGATGCACACTACACCTGGCCCTGTGCTGGGAGCTGCTGCTGTGTGACCAGTGTGAGGATGCCTCAGTTTTGGCTCTGCGTGTTCCGTAGACATGCTTTAGTTGAACACACTGGGATTCCAAAGTTCCCCTTTGGTATCACGGTGTTATTTCAAGGGGAGGTTGGTGCACAGCATCCTGAAGGGATCAGCCCCAGAAGGGGTTTCTTTCCCTGAGTGCTCTCGCCCTCGGCTCCAGCATCATCGATGTGTGAAGCCTTCTTGGACCTTCCCCACCGAGTCAGCCTCTTCTTACCCACGCACCAGCTTTGCCCTCTGTCCCTCACCTGGCTGAGGTTCTGGAAAACGGGACTGATTTTTGTGCCCCCAGGACGTTCGCAATGCCCGGCACGTGGTGGGCGCCTGTTAAATATTGAATTAAATTTCTGTTCACACGAAGACTCCGTC